ATTATATGTACTATCTCCCTCTGTCTTTTTAATCTGGCCAACCTGTGCATATTACCTCTATCTCTCTTCATTGCATGTATAGCCTTCTTTGACAAATGTTCCCTGTGTTTAGGAAAAACATGTGAATTGCTTCTGCTGCAGATCTGTCAACTCTTCAACTTAATTCTGTGACTCAAACTTTCCTACTATTGGAATTCTATGTCGGTTTATTCCATTGGTATTCAAAACAATGTATTAATATTTTTACAATGTTTGGGTTCATATCTTCTTTCAACTCTGCAAACTCTGCTTTATAGATTTCACAGCTATGTTGCTGGGAGCATACAGGTTTATTCCGGAATTGTTCTTCTGTTCACTTCTCCCTCTGTTTCTGTAAGGTTTTGTCTCAAAGCCATCTCTCATCTTAGTAGACATAAACCAGAAATTGTCTGGTTAGAGTCTGCACTTCTATATTTCTGTTTTTCATCCTTTTGGTTTCAACCTTTCTCTGTTTCTTTATTAAAACTGTGGCTCTTGTAAGCAGCATCATTTGCTTTCAGCTTTCTCTTTAAATGTATATGATAACCATTACTCTTTTATATAGGACTTTTAGTTTGAGCCCTTTAATATAATTACTCTCTTATTATGGCTTTTTGAGACAGGGTCTCCCTGTGGCTGAGGCTGACCTGGAACTCGTTACGTAGACCAGGCTGGCCTTGAACTCACAGAGAACTGCCTGTCTCTGCCTCCTGAGTGCTGGGATTAAGTTGTGAACCACCACACCAGGCAAACTCTTCATGTTTTGTGGTTATATGTGCTGTCTGGCTTTGTTTTCTTCAGTTGGTCAACCTGTGCATGTTACTTCTGTTTTCTTTTGCATATATAGACTTTTAATGCTTTTATTTTTCATTGATTAATTAGTTATACAGCGCTCACTCTATATTTGTACTGGTTATAGCATTATGTTTTTACAGTATTGGCGTTTGACCCAGAGCCCTCCTATGTGCCAGCCAACTGCTCTAACACTGAGCTCTAGCCCCACCTCCATTTCCACTTTGTTATTTTGAGGCAGGGTCTCACTAAGTGCCAAGATTTGCCTTGAACTGACTGCATGCCACAGATAGACCTTCAGCATCTCATCTTCCTGCCTCAGCCTCCTGGGTCCCTGGTTTTATAGGCCTGGTTAACCGGACCTGTCTTGAGAATAAACTTCCAAGTTGGTGGCTCATTTATTTCAGTCTTTGCAAGTCATGTTTTCATTAGGATCCACATTCCATTCAGATGACTTCTCACAAGTGGACGATTTTCACATTTTTATCCTTGTTCTCCAATAGCAATATGCCTTGTTTTTGCCTTGTGTGATTTTTTGTCAACTTGACACAAACTAGAGACATCTGAGATGCAACGTCAGAGGAGGAACTACCTCCATCAGTGTCCTGTGTGCTTGTCTGTGAGGCATTTTCTTAATTGCTAATTGATGTAGGAGTGCCCAGCCCACTGTGGGTGATGCCATCCCTGGGCAGGTGGGCCTGGGCTGTATAAGAAAAGTGCTGAGCAAGCTGGAGGAAGCAAGCCTGTGCCAGGTTCCCACTCTGCCTGCCTTGCCTTCCCTCAAAGATGGACTGCAATGGGGACCTGTAAGCCACAGAAACCCTTGCTCCCCAGATTGCCTTTGGTTAGTGTTTTATTGTTGTAGCAGACAGCAAACTACTATAGTGTGTTAATATCCAAGGTTTCCCTTTGTTTGGGACTCCTTGATGTCTTGACCATAAGGCTACTGGGTGGTTTCATTGATCTTGATCCTGCCTTTGGCGCTGAGCTTCTTTGGACTGGAGTTGATGTCCTCCACTGTGGGAAATCTTTCACATTATCTTTCTGAATAATGTTGTTGTTGCCCGTCCTTTTCCCTAGCGACGCTAAGTATCATAACAGAGAGCCACGCATGTCTCCTGAACTTTCTTTTTCTTCATTTTTGTTTCTGTGGATTCTTCCTATGTTCCATCATCTTAACCCCAAGCTGATTCTGTTTTTCTGTCCAATCTACTGCAAATCCCAGTCAACTGGTTCAAACTTCCAGATATTGTGTATGTCCTGCGAGAAACCTCATCTCATTTATCAGTGCAGGGTTTGTTTATTCTAGTGCTGGACATTGCCTCCTGGCATCGCGCATGCTTGAAAAGGGCTCTAACCACTGACCTACAGTCCCACAGACCGCCATCTTGTTTCTTCCACATTTCAAAACTCTGGTGAAGTCCTTCGTGTATTTCCCACATTTTCTAATGTCTTCTTAAGTATATGAACCTTATCTTACTTTTCTAAACCCGTTTTCTAGGATTTTATCTCTTTAATATTTTACTTATTAGTTTTATTTTATATATATGAGTGTGTTTCCTGCATGTATGTAAGTGCACCTGTGTCAAGCAATGCTGCAGTGGTCAGCATCGGATCCCCTGGAACTTGAGTTACAGACAGCTGTTAGCTGCCATGTAGGTACTAGGAATCAAACCCGGGTCCTCTGTGAGAGCAGTCAGCATTCTTAACCACCGAGCCATTTCTCCAGCCCCAGTAGTCTCTTGTCTCTTCCCTATGGTTTAGATCAATGTTATCCCAAGGCCATAGGTTGAAAACGTGACTCATCAGTGGGTTTCAGTATTGAAAGTCATTGGCGCATCTGAGGCTTAACAGAGGAAGTTAGGTTATTAGAGGCATGCCCCAGAAGTGGACTGCCCTAGCCCCTACTCTTCCTCTCCCTCTCACTTCCTGACTGACATGAGGTGAGCAGCTTCCTCTACCCTGTGCTCCCACCTTGATGTCTGGTTTACCAAGAGATCAGAAGAAACAGGCCAATTGATGACTGTGCACTGAAATGATTAGAATGTGTTCTTTAACTTTTTATATTAATTAATATTTTAGGACACTGGTGCATATGCAACAGCACACATGTCAGAGAACTTTCTGGAGTGGGTTCTCTCCTTCCAACTTTATTTTTTTAAATATTTTATTTATTCTTTTTATTTTATGTGTATGCTTGTATTACCTGCATGTAGGTAAGTGCACCTGTGTCATGCAATCCCCTCGGAGGACAGAAGAGGCTGTCAGATCCCCTGGAACTGGAGTTACAGACAGCTGTTAGCTTCCATGTGGGTGCTGGGATTCGAACCCGGGTCTTCTGCAAGAACAGTCAGTGTTCTTAACCGCTGAGCCATCTCTCCAGCCCCTCTCCTTCCAACTTTATATGGGTTCCAGGGATTGAACTCAGGTCATCAGACTTGGACATCAAGCATGTTTACCTGCTGAGCCATCCTGCAAGCCCAGAATCTCTATTCTTATTATATTGAAAATCTCAGGTATTTTGAGAAATAGCTGGCTGATAGAACCTTCAAGGTTATCAGCCATAGATCCTTTCCTCTTTGTAAGTCAACATCTTTTCATTACATTCTGGGCATTGCTAAAAGTGCACGCATTTCCACACACTGTCCTGCAGGACTTCTCACTTCAGTTCAGTGCTCAGCACAGGGGCCATCACCTCACAGGGGCCATCATCAGTCAGAATAGAGCTTGATCAGCACAGGAGTCACAATTCCACTCCAGTTCTTGGGGATTTGATACTCTCTTCTGGCCACTAGAGGCTTTTTAGGTACTGTGGGCAAAACACTCACACACATAAAATAAAAATAAGTCAAAATAATTTTTTTGGTCTTTTTGAGACAGGGTCTCCCTGTATCCCCAGCTGTCCTAGAACTCACTATGTAGACCAGGCTGGCCTTGAACTCACAGAGACCCGCCTGCCTCTGCCTCCCAAGTGCTGAGATTAAAGGCGAGGATCACCACGCCCAGCCAAAATAATTTTTTTAATTTAAAAGAATATATTCATTTCTGCCATGATGATTATAAAAGAACCAACTTTATGTGGGGTGGGTCTGCGTGTCTATTTATCTGTGTGGTTTGTATATGTCGGTGTGTTTGTGTACACGTGTGTTTGTGTGTTGTATATGTGTGCCGTGTGAGGGTCCAAAGGAGGACCATATCTTGGAGTAGCTGGGAGGAAGGAACCCTGGAGTTTTAGAACAAGTGTCCATGACTGCGAGCTCACAGACTACTGGGGACCTGGTGTGCACATATGACTCAGAATAGAATTAATCATGTCCACCACAGGGGCCTCAGGCTCCTGCTGTCACCAGGTTCAAGAGGCATCTTCAGGCAGAACGTGGGGCTGCTGTGAGTCTCTCTGGCCAGAAAAGTCAACAGGAGGGAGCAAGTGTCTGCTGGGTCAGCACAGGGCTCAGAGTTCCACTGAGATTCATTCTCATTCTCTCTCTCTCTCTCTCTCTCTCTCTCTCTCTCTCTCTCTCTCTCCCTCTCTCCCCCTCTCTCTCCCTCTCCCCCCTCCTTCCTTCTCTTCTCTCTCCTTCCCTTCCTCCTTCCCTCCCTCCGCTCCCTCCCCACTCCCCTCCTATCTCTCCCTCCCTCCCTCCCTCCCCCTCCCATTATAAAGCATTCCAACTGGCACCTCACTAACATGAGAAAAGTCACCACAGTATGGTCTGATTTCAGTCCCATGAGGCAGAGTTGACTATTGGAATTCATGAACCTGGCAGGCATGTCACCTGTCTCCTCCCTCAGGAGCCCACACTCTGCGCTATGACCTCACGGCCTTGTCTCAGGAGGGATCTGGGCAGCCCCAGTTCCTGGCCCTGGGATACCTTGATGATGAGCTCTTCCTGCGATATGATGGGAACAGCAGTCAGACAGAGCCCTGGGGGCTCAGGATGAAGGGACATCTGGGACCTGAGACCTGGGCAAGAGAGACTGAAGAATTGCAGGAGGAGGAGCAGCAGCTCAGGAGGATGCTGGCAGAGCTCATGGGCCAGAAGGGCCAGGACAGGGGTGAGTGGGCAGAGCCAAGTGCATGTGGGTCCAGTGCTGGTCACTGAAGTCAGGGTGGGGGAGTTGGCCCATCAGGCATACTGAAGAAAGCAGTGAGGCTTCCTTAAAACATTCAGGTATCCCACCCTTGGGAGGTTCACAGGATGTGCACCACTCACTGTAAGACTCATGGGCACTAAGATCCTGGGACAGTGAGGTGACAGTTCTCTGCCTGGGGTGGCCAGGTCTTCACACTCTCCAGGCCTCGTTGGGCTGTGAAATCCAAGGAAACAACACTAGAGCCTTCTGGCGCTTGGGCTATGATGGGCAGGACCTCCTCACCCTGGACCCGGAGACCCTCAGCTGGAAAGCGGCAATGCCCTCAGCCAAGTCCACGAAGATGCTCTGGAAGAGGCATGGCCCCAAACTGGCTGTGGTTAAGACTCTCCTGTATGACACATGTCCTGATTGGCTCCAAAGGCATCTGACTACCATGAGAGACCGCCCCATGTATACAGGTACTGATAATGGGCAGGTGGGTTCACTCTGTGAGTCTGACTGGGCCTTGCCATGGTTTTGTGAGGGACTGAGCGCTCACTGGATGGCACAGCCTCGGGAGACACCCACATTGCTGTGTCTCTCAGCTGGGGTAGACAGGGCATCGGGCCCTCATCCAGCTGATCTGATATGTGCCACATCTCAAAGTCCTAGAAAGGCAGGAGGGTGAGACTTCCCTCCATAGCCTTATTCTCTAGAATGTCCACTTCCCAGAGTTGACACAACCAGGAGGGAACTCCTGGCTGCTGGCCCTGGCTGGGCGCTAAGTTAGAAGAGAGTTCCTGACCTGGACCTGGGTGCCAAACTCAAATGCAAGTGGCCTTGTGTCAGGGGACAAGGGTCACTCTGCTCTTGATCTGCTCCTGATTTTAGAGAGATAAAGTTAAAAGGAAAAAAAAGAAGAAGAATGCCCTGAGGAAACAGTGTGGGGACAGGGAGAGAGGGTGGAGTCCTCGGTTATCAACCAACAGTCCCAGAGAGAAAAAGATTAGAGCCAGAGAAAAGGAGAAGGGTCCTCAGGGCTGAAGAGACAGCATAGCAGTTACTCTAGTTTGGTTCTCAACACACACATCAGGCAGCTTACAATCACTTGTAACTCCAACCCCAGCGAATCCACTGCTGGCACTATACTCATATGCAAAACTCCACACACATATACACACAATTTTTAGAGGATTTTTTTAAAAGAATCAGGCTCCTTTAAGCTGTCAGGCCTTCACTGCTCCCCACTAGAGATAGAGCTGGCTTTGTCACAGAAGCAGGAGGCTCATTCCCCTGAGGTCAGATCTCCAGCCCCTGGAGACCTGAGCAGCTCTTTGTCCCATCAGTGCCTGAAAATTCAACTACACCAGGGGCTGGAAGATGGATCTGCTGCTCTCTGACAGCAGGGACTTCATGTGCTCTCCAAGTCACCACGTAGTAGACAACCTGATGCCCATGGAGTGTTGGGAGCCATTGGAGATTCCTGCCAGCCTCTACCATCCTCTCACCAACTGGAGACCTGACTCTAGGGAAATGAATATGCACAGGGTGATTCTTAGTGTCTGTATTACCCAGAAGTCTTCAGCTTCCTCTGACCTCAACCCACCAGCTGTCTTGCTCCCAAAAGAGAATTCAGACAGGACACAGAGAGCACGTAGTTCAGAGTCTAATGAGATCAATGAAGAAGGAAGAAGACACAAGAATAGTCTCTCTCTTGAGCTGGAGGGATGACTCAGCAGTTAAGAACACTGGCTACTCTTGCAGAGGATCTGGGTTTGGTTCCCAGCACCCACATGGCAGCTAACAACTGTCAGTAACACCAGTTCCACAGGATCTTCTGCCCTCTTCTGACCTCCACTGACATTGCACGACACAGGTGCACCTACCTACATCAGGCATTACATTCATACACATAAAATAAAAATAATAAATAAAACTATAAAAAATAGTCTCTTTAGAGAATGAGTGAGCCAAGTAAGCCTAGAGCTTATGATCCCCCGTTCCTATTATCCTCTGCCTTTGCTTTGGGCCTTTGGAGTGGTGGGGGGTGGGGGCACTTCCAGGAAAGCAGCATGGTCTCCTTAGAAGTCCATTTTACCCAGAATTCCATCTAAGTGAATGTATAAAGATGCAGGACTGTGTATGTGAGTTTCAGAACTCCTGAAGTTGAAAAGTTCAGGGAAGAAATGGGTAAAAGCAATCTGCACATGCTCCCCTGGCAAGGAAGTCTCTGACCTTGGTTTGATCTGACCCAGCTAACAGAGGACCACCTGTGGTTCTTCACATCATGTTTTGGGGGTCCTGAGCTGACCCATCTGAAGCCAACCACCACCCATCTCTATGTCTTTGCCACCAGCTCACCACCAGCACTATCTTTACATCCTGTTTCAGGGCCCTGACTAGGCCCACCTTCTGTTCTTTGTGTCCTAGCTGGAGAGCCTGTTGGTCAGTAACTCTAACAGCCAGCCCCTTACCTAACAGCTGGTTAGTTTCTGACTCCAGTGCCCCTCCATGCAGAGAGAAATTCTAACCACACCCTGGTCTCTGTCTTGTCTTCCCCCAGGTCCCCCAACAGTGGTTATGACCCATATGAACTACCCAGTGGACAGGATCGTCCTGACCTGCAGGGCCTTTAACCTGTATCATGGCACCGCCACTCTAACCTGGCTTCGGGATGGGGAGTCCCTGGAGCAGCACACCTTTGGGCCTGATGTCATCCTTCCCAGTGGGGATGGAACCTACCAGACTTGGGTGTCCACTTGGATCCTTCCTAGAGAGGAGCCAAGGTTCACGTGCCATGTCCAACAGGGCAGCCACAGCATTGGGGCACTTCATTTAGGTGAGGAACTGGGGGAATCTTCAACAATAGGGGGCTGGAAGCAGGGCCAAGTAGGTCCCAGGGACACAGTCACCACTCATTTCATGATGACCTCCAGGGAATCAAGTCGAGCAGATTGGGGGTGTCATCAGCGCTGCTCCTGCTCTGGCCATGTCTGCTCTCCCTGCTGTGTGGATGCTGTTGACCTGCGTCTAAAGGCGGAACTCTGAAGACGTAGGTGATAAGTCCATAGGGAAGAGGGATGGTGGTGCACAGATGTGCTTCTCTGTGATTATTAGAGATGGTGCTGCCTTTCTTCTCTTCCCTCTCCTCTTTCTTGCAAAAGCAGAAAGGGACACACACCAGCCTTTTCCTGCTTCTGGATCCACTGATTCCTGATGGCTTCATGGAAGCCAGGAAAGAAACATGACTGAACGAGAGGACAGAAGGAAAGAAATCAGCATTTACACTGCCTTGTACATTAGATCTAGACCTTGGGGTGTAGTTAGTTTAGGCAGAGGAAGATTATAGAAACATTACAAATTAAACAGCTAGAGCCAGACACGGTGGTGCATGCCTCTAACCGTAGAATTCCGGAGGCAGAGGCAAGCAGATCACTGTGAGACCGAGGCCAACCTGGTCTACATAGTGGGTTCCAGGCCAGCAAGGGATACATAGTGAAATCCTGTCTCCAAAAAAAGTATAGAGAGAAAAATAGATAATCATATTGCAGAAAGAAGGTCATTAGTAGGAGGCCAGGAAAAACAGGAGTGAGTCTTATCAGAAAATTCTTTCGAGCTAGCTTCAGAAATCTCAAACAGAAAACACTGCCTGGCAGCTAAGTTGCTTGCCATGCATGGCTGTAACTGAGCGTGTGGAGCTGCAGCCCTGAGCCCAGGAACTGGAGCCTCTGTCCAGGACTGAGCACTGACTGAGGAAGATGGCCTTGTTTCCATGGCTGGAACCCCATAACTGGAAATTCTGTGAAAGGCAACTCCTGCTCACCAGCCATGGACTGTGCACACTCTGCACACCCCTCATTCATGAGCTAGGAATCACAAGCCACAAAACTTCAGAAAAAGTAACATACCCTAACTGAAGGAATGTCTCCAAAATAGAGACTACCACCTCACCCCTCCCATCTGCACTGAGCCATAACACTAGACAAGCGCTAGGTAAACACTTCCACTGAGGCACGCCCCAGCCCCTCCCTGGGGATTCTACATAAAATCTCTACCAAGGACCCATTTCCCTTGCTGGTGGCATCTAGGCAAGGGCTCTACTGCTCAGCCCCACCACAGTACCAGAACAGTTCATGAAATGCTTAAGTTCTTTAGTAGATATCAGATTGCTCAATGTTTCATTAATTTTGTTAGCAATCATCAAAATCTTTATTTCTTAAAGAACTAGACAATTTAGCCCACATTATCAAATTTATTATTGGATATACGTACAATGCTGATGTCTCACTTTGTCTACACTCTGCGATGACACCTCCAGTTTCACTTTAATGCTATTTTTGTGTTTTCTCCTTTCCTTTCACTAATTCCTGCTATGGGTTTATCAACTCTATTCATCTTTTGAAATTCCTTTAGCTTTGTTTATTTTCTTTTTATTATGTTTTTTAATTTTCTGTGTATGAGTGTATTGCCTACATGTATGTGAGTGCACCCGTGTCGTGCAATGCCACAGAGGTCAGAAGAGGGCTTCGGATTCCCCTGGAACTGGAGTTAAGGATGGTTTGTAGCCGCCATGTGGGTGCTGAGAATTGAACCCAGGTCCTCTGCAAGAGCAGTCAGTGCTCTTAACCGCTGAGCCATCTCTCCAGCCCCAACTTTGTTTATTTTCTATTAGGTCTATTTTTATTTCACTGAGGATGTTTAGACTTTTTTTCCTTCTGTTTTCTTAGAACACAGATAACTAAAATGATTCCTAGTGGTCAAATCCTTCTGTTTTATGTCCCAGTGACACTGCATGGATGTGAGCTGGACCTAGAGAGCTCTTGTTACCTGGAGGAATGTGACAAAGAAGAAGAGGCATCACCTCAGAGAACAGGTTATATGACACATTGTCTTGCTCTTGCTGGCGTCTCCCTGCCTCTTCCACCATCTTCCATGATGCACATCTGTGGGGAGCCAAGACTGGGCCTCACCACACTTGGTGTGATACCTGGGCCCCAGCACAGAGGACTTTGAAGAGCTGGATCCTGGCAGCAGCCCTAAGCCGCTCCTTGAACTGGCTTCTCCCCACATTCAAGTCTTTGGATGAGATCACAGCTGGCCTGGGCCTTGACTACCTGCCTTGAATCTCTGCCCAAATTCTGGGCATGGTACCTCATTCCCTTGCCTAAGAAGATTGAAATGACTGGATTTTCACCATGAGGGCTGCTTGTTTTAATGTGTCATTATATTCCTGAAATAAAGTTCAATTTTACACAATATGCAGTGTTTTCTTATAGTCGTTGACTATAATCTATGTATGAGCTGTTCATGTGTACTAGAGATTAAATTTAAGACCTTGTGCATACTGGCAGGAGCCACATCCCAGCCCCTCGCTGGTGGACTCCAGGCAAGAGCTCCACCACTGAGTCAAATGGAATGTTTGGCGGCTGGGGAAAAGGAAAAGAGTTTCCTTGTCTACCCTTCCCTCCCCTCCCTTAAACTAACCCAATTTTTATCCATATCTCCCTTATTGAGGCCTGTTACCTACTGTTCTCTTTCAGGTTCTTTCTTTTCCTTTACCTCCCTGTTTCCTTTCCATTATCCTGGTTCCTGTAGTTATGTCTGGATACATACTCACTTATCAGAGTCCGGTTCTAGGATCCACGTGGATATGAGGGAGAACATATGTCGATTTTTTTTTCTGAGTCTGTGTTACTTCATTTAGAATGACAGTTTCTAGTTCCATCTATTTACCTGCAAATTTCATGATTTCATCTTTCTTTATTGCTGAGTAAAACTCCATCATTTAAATGAACCACATTTTCATTATCCACTCGTCATTTGAGGGACACTTAGGTTGCTTCCATCTCTTAGCTATTGTGAAAAGGGCAGCAGCAAACATGGATGTACTAGTGTCTCTGCAATAGGATGAGCTCTTTGGGTATATGCCAAGGAATGGTATAACTGGGTCAAATGGTAGGTTCATTTTTAGTTTTTGAAGAGTTCTCCACAGTGTTTTTGATAGGCACTTGTTTGCAGCC